ATATATATATATATATACACAAATATATATATATATATACATCAACATTATGGTTAAAATACAATATCAATTCTCATTTTTAATTATAATTATACAATACCAATCATGAATATTTCTGACCATTGCATAATGATTAGAATGAGAATATATTTATTATGGCAGCATTTCTCAAAGCATGGGGTGCAACCTCCGAAGGGGGTACAAATGATCTATTGAGGGATGTGAGCAATTAGGGTAGAGTCAGTAGTGCAATGATGCAAAATTAAGCATTTTACTACATTTTTTATTAGTGAAAATAATAAGTACTTACTACAACAGATATAATATTGTAATGAGCATCCACGTATTACATATTGTCACTTAACTCATTCTTTAACTCATTTAAAAAAGACAGGAGCACATAAGAAACTATATCTTTTAAAGATTGGGAAATGCTTTACTAGGAATTAAATTTTAGAACACTAAGAGCATTGGCCTCAAAACATTAGTGTAAACTAAGAACCCTGGATTAAACCATAAGTTACCAGAAGAAATTCAATGATTTAGTAAATACTATTTTACAAACATAAACTATTCTTTTAATTCACAAATATCCAACTGATACTAGGAAACTGAAATAATAAATTCATAATCCAAACAACATTAAATATTTACTGTTTCTCTTTTGTCTTCAACTTTTCAAGTATTAACATACTTATTTATAAATTTTAGAAATCATACTTACTGTAGCCGCTGCTTGCTTAATACGATTCTGTTTTACTTAAACACATCTGTTAGTAGTTAAGCTTCAAGTTAAATTCAATCTAACAGTGTTTTGTGAATCATCACAAGTATTTTATAAAACATCAGAAAATAAGGTTCAATTTAAAAAAAATGTAAAAGATAACATCAACATTTGGAAGTATAAACATGAATCTTAATACACACACATGAGTGTTCCAAGTTTCAGTACTCACCACATCATCAGGAGTAAAGTCAATATACCCAGGAAATATGAGGAAATCACTGAAAGTACAGTTATTTTAAGTATCAACCACAAGAATGAATGTACATATACAATGCTTCATTACTTTCAACATTTCACAATACATTTTGGAAGAGTATCCTTTCCAGATATTACATTGGTCAGTTTTAATTTATACATCATATTTCGCCCTTAAATACTGTACTAATTCGTTCCTTGAAGTGTCTTGCAAATAAAACTACATTATTTGTTTTTAAAATGAAGCCCCATTTTGGGATTATTGGCATAAGAAATAACACAATGTCTTTTACAACTAAAGCTAAGCTTCTCTTACTCTATCATAACAGATAAAAAGAAATCTTGGTAGAAACTAACGAGGAACAGCTTAAAAATTAAAATAACTTTTTGTTGCTGTAACAAATCAATTACAACAGCTTAACAACAAATGTTAATTAGCTAAATCAATAAGAACCATATAAAAATCTGTTTATGATTCTGGAAAACACAGTTTCAAATCCTTCTGAAATATTAATAATATATTCTCAATTTGTTTTTTACTAGAATACAGTCAGAAACAGAACCATATTATTAACGAGAACTTCCGAGTGGAAGTAAAGAAGATTGTATAATAATATGTCAACCATACTACATCTGCTATGTCCAATGCCAACAAGGCCTTCACCTCCTCAAGATTTACATTTAAGATGCTAGATTGAATAAAGTGAAGTATTATTCAAGAGAAAAAATAAATATTATTAGAAACTTGAACAAACTACTTATAGTATAACACTTACTTTCCTGTGTAATATGCAGGTATTTGCATATCATGTGTTTTATATCATCTTGCTTTACTGTAGAATTTTTCAAAATTAGTCAGTTATTCAGGAGTATAAGCACTTTTCACATAACATGTAGTTAGGAAAATTGTGCAGTTGATTTTGTTCTAACTACCACTGTTCTTTGTCATTCTCTTGAGATAACACCTGATCTATCCATGGGATGCATCACTGTAAAATTACAACTTGTGCATGAATGTAGACAGCAATGTTCTCCAATGGTAGGTTAGGTGATTCCTCAAGGTCACAACCTCTCAAGTTTGAATGAGAATGAACAGTCACATGGGTGGCACTAGTTGTCCATAGAAAGTCTAAGATTACCATTTAACTAAATAACATAAGGTTTAATCAGTTTAGAACAGGATCACAACCAATGCAGTTTGGAGAGAAAGTGGTTTGATCCAGTAAAAGAAACCATTTGTCATATGAAGCACATACACACAGTGCAAATAACAGATTGTTCATTTGATTTTCATACAATTGGGTCTAGTCTCTTTATTTCCTTCTCACAAACTCAGTTACTCAGTGAACTCAGAAATACTGTGTAATAAATAGCTTGTTCTAATTTCCCATTATTCTTTGGACCATTCTTTTCCATTTTGTGCCCACCAACAGATCATTTTGAAAATAACACCAGTAATGCAATAAATTAAAATAATTAATAATAACACATTATATAATATTTGTTTAGCAAATTCTGCAATATTAAACAAAATTTTTTGAATAAATCTCATCTTTGTTTCTATTTCTCCATATAAAGT